GGATCCGCTGCTCATGATGTCACCGCTCGTGTCTTCTTCTTCCCCACACCACCTATCGCCCACCGCTCTCTCATCGCCTCGCAAAACGGTGGCTGTAAGGACTTGCTCGCGTAATCACTCGATCCCTCAGCGGGGCGCCCTCGCGAATTTAATTAGACCCAATGCCCGCGCGAGCTATCGGCCAGATCAGCAGCTCGTTAGCATGTTTTAATTGGTGGCTGTCAGGCAGATGGACGCTGCGATAATCCGGCGACTCCTTCTCGACGAGCGACCTTACACACGTCCGCCACGCAATGGAGCTAATGGTAATACGCAAAAAATGCCATGCGTCGTGTGTGCGGCCGAGATCTTGTAATTGCACAGATTACATACGAGTATTGTCAACTATCGCTTTGTAAGGGACGTCCTTACGTCTCGCCACACTCCTTAGCCATCGATTTATTGTTAAAGAGAGCGCTCTTCCTTTCCGCCTTTTTGTGCGTTACCTGGGATATCGCCAAGAGCGGCGGCAAGATTGAGACCTTTTCCCGCATTGTCACACTTTTGGGGCGTTTTTGCTCTCATTTTCTTGAAAAAGCCCGATTTTTAGATTACTTCTGAATCGAACGATTATATCGATTTCTTAAAGCGCCTTTTCGATACTCTTTCTTAGACTATGCGCACAGTAGAAGCCAGAAAAATAAAATAATATAATAAAATAATATATTACATTAATTTAGTGGCTGCTGAAATATTGTATATAAAACTTGACCTCGATTTTCATCAATTATGTTTCACTTTAACTCAGCCTCTCTAAAAATAGGTAAGACATTTATTAAGATTTGAAAAGAGCATTCCATAAGATTCATCTTAAATCAGAAAAATATGAATAAAGACGAAATAAATTAAATTGTATCGACGATTCCTTTATATTATCTTTGGCAATATTTTTTCATAAAATATAAGAATCTAGCTGTACGAAATTAATTAAAGTACTTCTTTACATTCGAAAACAATGGATGTTCGTAATACACAGAAATTATAGCCAACGCTAGGATGTGAAGACTTTCACAAAGTTGCAAAAAAATAAAAAAAAGTATTTGTATGTGGTACAAAACTTCTGACAATATCGACTTCGTTCTTGTCTGTAAAAAATACACTGAACTCTTTAAGAGAAATAAGAAACGCTTATATAGTAAGAGGTAAATAAATCCTTATCAAAGCTCGATAAAATAAAAAATGTCTTCTTTCCGATCGAAAAGAGAGAAAAGTGTCGGCTAATAATTGAAAAATCACACTACCTCGTCAATTTTTCGACAAGATCTCGATGCATTGCTCAAATGATCGAATTCACGAGGTGCACGCACGGGACAGAAAGTCGCAGCACATTTTCCTACTCAATTTCAAATTCAAGCTCATCGTTCCTCGGATCTAGATCTGCACGAGATGAAACGAAAACCCACTGAATAAAAACATCCGAGAATGAGAGAGTGAAAGAGAAAGAGAAAGATAGATAGAGAGATCGAGAGAGAGAATCAAAGCGAGAACAGAAAATAACAGATGTTGCGTTAAATGGACTCGGCACAGCACTCGAGAACTTCGATGACTCAGGGGCTCAGCTGTAGAATGCAGACGCGGCCGAGAACTCAGGCAAGTGAAAAAAGGAGTGCACTCAAGAATATCCCAGCGAGTAATTAGTTCATTGATCGTAAAACGCTACATTAATCCATGCGTGCGCACAAGACTGGCGACATGTGTCGAGCGTGTGCCTCTTCTTTTTTATGTTTCCTCGCACGCCGATAGGCGAAAACAAGGAGTATGTGCGAACCCTCGAGTTGGGAAAACGAAATCCGATGGTTACAAGGGGATGAGGGCGTAGAAGAGAAGAAAGAGAGACGGCGCCTATGGAAAAAAGACCGGGAGAAAAGTGAATTATATTGTGACAAGGTTTTCTCGGGGTGCGGAGTGGTAGATGAGCCGATTTGCGTTTTACGGCGAAACCTTCGTGGTTGTACTCTAGCTTTTAAATGGATCTTTATGTTCGACTCTTTTCGTTATCGTACTTTAGTTTAAAAATACTCTTTTGTGGTATATATGTTTTGTATTTATTTACTTTCTTTTTTTATTGTTGCAATGCTAACGAATGGGCGAACAGTAGAAGCGCACAGAACTGACATTTATAGCACTTGTTTTCATTACGTGCGTATTTTGTTTTATCTTACTATTTTATCGTTAAAAATGTGTGAAAACTGCCTTTATACTGTAATATAAAAATGTATTTAAAAAATACGTACGGAACATGCTATTGCTGCATTATAAAATTAACTGTTTGCATTCAATTAATTTTTGGCCTTGTAATTATAACTATAGATAATATGTAACACTATAATTTTTACATCGATTTTTAAATGAAATCTAATAACATTTTTCACCTCTGGAACAACATATACTCCCCTTCATTTAACTTTCAATCGTTACAACTCAGTAATCGAAAAGAAATTCCCACACTTGTCTAGAAATGACATCTAGGAAGAACGAAATCAACCGATCTCTATCCAATTTTGACCATCTGTATTCCACGAACAGTAAGTGTCGTGACAAAAGATCTGGTTTCGGATAATAAGGCTTAAAATGTTTATGTAATTATTCGATCTCAATAACAAAAATTAATAGCGACATTGACATTATTCAATCAATCCGTAGTTTTTATTTATACATTTTGAATTCTTCGATATGAAGACTGCATAATTACAACTTTCATAATTTTAGATTATTATAAATAATTGTTTTAGATACGACATTAATTAATGATATTAATGCATAATTTTAAATAAACATAAACCGGAAGAATATAAGATTTCAAATTTAGAATTAAGATTTAACAGATAAAGTATTTGCTTATTTTGTACTTTGATTGACATTTCAATTATATAAAGTAGGTCAGTAAGGTTTATTTAAAGCCCAGATATAATTATAATTTTTGAAAATATGTATTCAAGAAAATCTGATTAATGAATTTGACTTAAACATTATTAATTTAAATATTCCAAAGAAATTTTGTTTACATGGTTTTAAGATTTATTAAAAACCTTTTTTTTAAATTATTTTCGTAAATTTATATTATAAATTTCAAGGATTCAATGTATTTTTATTCTTATTAAGAAAGGTTTCACGAATGTCATGCTAAATATAAGAAAATAATTAATTATACTAAATATAAACATATCATTATACTACATATAACTAGTATATAATGCAATAAATATAATTAGTTTCTAAATTTATGTTTAAAAAGTTGATAATTCTAGATTTGATAAATAAAAAGATTAGATGCTATTAAAACAAAAAAAATTAAGATTGACAATAAAAAACAAAAGTCAGTTTGCAAATAAAACAATTTTTGCTCTCACAAATGATATCGCAATTTTTAAAATTGGTTTCGTCTATTTCTGGCCATTTTTTTTAGAAAGTTCCATTAGTACTTTTAGAATTCAAGATTCCAATAATACGTAGTGAAAAAAGGTATGGCAGCCAAAGCGTCGCACACCATACAGATACAAAATTTTATGCATTCTTTTGTCACTACTATATCCAGTGAAAGAAATGCATAATAAAGCCAAAACCTCGACCCGAGCCCAAATTTGAATTTCATTTTTCATTGAGATGTATTCCCGGGACTTTGAAGCTTTGTAACCTCGCGGATAGACACTCCACTCCTTGTAGTCCACGCTTCTTATTTTCCATGTCTTTTTCATCTCGAGGGCCCGACCGCTCTCAATTCGCTCTCAGCGTCAACGTCAAAAACGGCTAGGCCTCGAAAAGGTAATTAAAAACGGGTGGGACGACTGCCGCCAGAGATTCGGAACTTTTCTACAACGCCTCTCGAGAACCCTCGACCCGTTGACAAAGTGACAATCGCCAGACAGAGACGGGGAGCGATCGAGAGTGAAATAAAGAGCTCGTGCGGAAGCTTGGCGAAAGTCACGTGCAGTCTCGTGTTACATTTTCATTCGGCTAATTGTCCAAGCCCTTACAATCGACGCCGAGATTCCGCGTAATTTGAGAAGGAAAAAAATGAAGAAGAAAAAGGATGGCAAGCGTCGCGCATAGTTAACTAGTTAGCCAGTAGACAACATATTCGGACGAATGAGTCAATTTTCGTATCTTGAAATATTTGTATTGTCAGTACGTACGCGCGATTTGACAGTCCAAGTTAGCGAACGTCACTGTCATATAAGTCAATGGCGTTCGGCCCATTAAAATTTTTTTCCCCTTTTATTTTCAAAGAACTTTTAATGCACGTGTGCAGGGAGTCAAGTGGATGACTGTATGCGGTAGAAGCGCTTTTCGCGATTATAAAATGCTTCAGCTTTTCTCCGAGGATTGTTAACTTATAAAACACTCAGTTAGATTTACTCATAAGTTTTCTCAATTTTAAGTTTCCCGGTATTTCATTTACATACTCACACAAATATATTTAGTAATAATAATAATTAATTACATTGATAAAATAAAATATAATGAAAATAATTTAATAAAGTGCATAATTAATTTACTATTAATATATAATTTTATAAATTGTTATGATCTTTCAGTCTATCTAGTTATTCAGTTTCAATTCTTATTACAAATTTCACATTTATAAAATTTGATGAAAAATGTAATTGAAATTTTGATAAAAGTTTGAATGAAATGTTTTTAAATAAAATTGACAAATATGGTTCTAAATTAAATTAAAATAAAACAAATGTATACTTTATTTCTACATATTTATTATAATTAATATTGAGTAAAAAGTACATATTGTACAGGATAGTCGATACGAGTAACAAAAAAATGTTTTCTACTTTATCAACCGAAAGATAAAATGTCGGTCAATGTATATAGTTCAATTACTAGAAAAACTTATCATGTTTAGGTAAATGCGTCCATATTTTGATTATATGAAATATATTATAATTCTAAAAAATAAAATTATATGAATATAGTAAAATTATATAATTCAATAAAAATAATGTCAAATGATTCATTACATTAATTATATAATTAAGTGTTGCAAAATTAGAATAATTATATTTTATTTATATCACACACACAATTTAGTGACCGTAACTTTCACAATGGTGACCTACTGTCTCTAAACTATTGAGAAATATGTAGAACTTATTGTTCGCATCTAAGCGATCATACATCAATTTTGGAACATTACTTACTAAGGTATATAAATTTTTACCCAATGGATCGATTGCTATGTCATTTGGAAATGACATTTTTTCCAAATCTTGACTTATGAGATCTGAAAAATACAATATTTATTTGTAAAATATCTGTTGAAGTTATTATATAATTTATTATATTTATGTAAAGATAAGATAAAAAGTAAATTAACTATATTCGTATTTGATTTCATTATTATAGATAATATGAAAGAACATACAATCCTTATGAATATTTACATAATGAAAGTTCAAGATTGTTTTACGTAATATCAAAAACTTCCAGATCCATATTCGTTTATTAACCGATTCATAAAAATTCAGAAAATGTTATATAGGAGAGCATGTAATATATATGCTTTATAATTCTTTACATTGGTTTATTATAAGCCAACATAAAAAGGCATGCAAATGTGTAACTTCTTGAATTTTGTGAATTGAATAGTGATTTGGTCAATAATAGCAACAATGAGACGATGGAAAAGGAGTAGAATACCACCATTAGATTATTATCGTAAGCAATTTTCTAAAGATAATACTCACTAAATGTGTTGGGATTAAGTGGTTCCTTCGTATTCCAGCAAGCGATCCCGTGTCGGTTGATTTGCGTGAAATAAATGATTCCTGTTTGCAAATCAATTGCTGAGGAAGTGCCCTGGCTGCCTTGGCCTTTCTCACCCGCTAACGTGAATAAATAATAATTATCCGACGAGGCGCTCGACTCGTTCCTCAACACGGCCGTGGATACGGAGAATTCACGAACAGCGGACAAAGCGTGGAAGTACAATGTCTTCGATCCATCTTCCCGGTGTGGCGACACCACCAGTCCGAATACGCCGTCGGTCCAGTGGAAATTTATCCCCGTGACGTTGTAGTCGCCTGCTCGTTGTTTTCAGGGGAAGAAGGGTTAGAAATTAACGATACGAAATGCTTTCTCTCCCGGGACGATGGGAAATTGTCGCCGAGCAATGATAATTGGATTGGACGCTCGCGTGAAATTACACGGCTCGTAGCAGAATTCGCGCTCGATTCAAAAGTAAACGGATTTTACGGAGGAGAGATTTCAACTGACTGCTTAACAGTGATCGCGTATATTCTATTAGAATTTATGGCCATCTCAAATTACATATTATAACTCTTTGATTATTTAAATTTCGCGCATGCAGATTAGTCGAAGTATCGACAATTGTACAGCATATAAATATATTTTCCACATGAAAATTAATTAAAGTAAATTTACATTTCTTAAGATAAAGTTTTATACAATTAAATAAATGTATAACCAATAAACTTTGGTGTATACTTAAAATGGTTTACTGAGTCCTGTTTTTATTTATTAAGGAAAATAATTTAAAAGTTATTGATGAATATATAATCAAAGAGCTTCAATACTACTTATAATTTCTATTTTATATAATTCATGATTTATTTGGACTTACGAAACTCTTTCCATTAATAAACATGTATTAAAGAGATTTCGGTTCCCATTGAAAACTTGTTTCGCATGATCTGATAAAACCTTATAATGACTTCTTCATTTTACAAAAGTTAATATAATGTTTACATGAAATAGCGATTTTATCTATTAAATCAGAATAGAAATATGAATACGATAACGATCGATTAATACTTTTCGAATTCAGACATATAAATATATTTAAAGAATAATATCCACCTATGCATATGAACTTTGCTCGGTTACATATTCTTTAAACTTTCCGAGTAATAAAACGTATTCGTTTCGAATAGCTCCGCGTAATATTGTATGACCGTAAAAATATATATATTCTCTTACCATTCAATGGATCAAAATGAAAGTAATTGTGATGGAATCTCCAAGAATTATTTTGTGCCCAGCTGTAAACGACCAGACCGTATCCTCCAAGATCAGATAAGTACGCGTAGGCGTCGTTACAGGAATCTTTGTCTACATCGACGGCAAGGTCGGCGAAGAAGGAATCGGCTTTCTGATCCGAATCTTTTAAAGTGTAGCTACGAATTATCTGGAAAAAAAAATACGAAACTTCTTTGGTCATGTTCCGTACGTCAATCCTTGCTTTCTCTCATCCCTTGTCATGCCTTAAAGTATCATTTATCATTTCTACTTAATATACACGTGGGTGTATCTCTTAAAATTTTCTAAAATGTTAATATTATTGATTAACATAAGAGAATTTGTCTTCTACTTATTAATTTTACGATTATTTAACGTGCAGAATAGAAGAATTATTAAATGTCATTTTATTCAATTAAACTACAACTATCATCGGTGCACTTTTGTTATATAATTCTACAGTGCCACTTCAAATACTTTTGAATAATATTATGATAACATTCTAAATTTTATAAAATTTAATATGATATGTACAAATTTTTAAAACAATAGAAGTATATTGACAGATAATTTTCTCTTGTAATATACAAAAATCTTAACATTGTATAAATTATGTAACGGAAAACACGTTTAAAATGATAGAGTAAACAAAAAATTTACATTTTAATTACAAAATATTTATTAAAAAGATTTAATTTAATTAAAAAGATCTATAAAGTTATATGACTCATTCACTTGATGAGACAACAAATGAAGTGTAATTGATTGATTATAATCTTATTTTCACTAGATAATTTGAAGACAATAATTCATTAATATTCGAGATAAAACAATAGAGCAAAAAAACATAATAATTATGATAATGAGAAAATAAAATACTGGATACCTTATTCGAATTCAGATCAATTACGATGAGTCGTGGAGGCCGGACTATTTTCGTATCGCCCAATATATCATCGATTCCGGTGTCAACGCCCCAAAGTCGATCGCAGGCATCGACTCTCGTACGAAAGATGCTGATAGTTACATCATTGTTGTTTGAATGAACATCATTAGTCTCCCACTTGGGGTAAGGAGTGAGTTGTGGAGACTTGCCTGTTTCATGGATCAAAAAGAATTTAAATGCTCGATAATCAAAGATAACGAATTTTCCATGATTAAGCTCAACTTATTAGTTTAAAATTACATTACCTGTACTTTCAGACATTGAAATATAATTTAAGTTTGCTGGGACGCCTTTCTTCCATCTGGGAACTGTAATGAACATTTTGTCCCTCCACACACTAACACCCACTGGAAGGTTGTCAGCCTGAATGAAATCTCCGGAAGCGATATATGCCATTCTCATTGATTCATTCGGAAAGTTATAATCAAGCTTATCCCAAGAGTACAGTATTTCGGGAGGGTGACAGCTGGCTGCTGTCAAAATCATGAAAACGAATATCCACCACATATCTGCACAATGATAAAATTCTCCAATTAAATTATGAATAATTATTGCAATACTGAATTGCTTCAAAACCCACTCTAACTCTATTTTTTTAATATTATATTATAAATGAAAAAAATGCAAGCATACCTTATAAAATTGTAATAATATACCTTACGTATTTTTTTCTTTATATAGATTTATTAAACAATTTATCAAATAAGTATTTAAACAGATGAATTAAAACAATTGTAATTAATTTTAAGCTTCCATATATTTTAAAGAAATCATAAATTATAAATAAATATCCTATAAAATGACTTTATATAACTTGAATGTTTATTTATATAAATTAATGGCACTATCAAAATAAATAGTCACTGTTACTTTTAACACAAGAATAATTGTATAAATACATATCTTGTTACTTATATTGTAGTATTAATTATATTATATTACTTAATCTGATCAAAGAGTTCCAAATAGTAATAGTATAAATGCTTCAACTTTACAAATGATTGTTAAAAAAAATTTTCGTCGAAAAACAATTAAATCTACCATAAATGTCTTTTAATTTATCGTATGTTTAAATAGCTACAAAACAATTCATACTTAAAAAAGTAGGAAAATAACTTCGACTTGAAAATTTCAATGTCTATAGAAATAAAAATATTTAGTAATAAATTTAATGTAATTTTGTGTAAGATTAAGCTTTGAAATAAGTTTCAATTTAATTGCAATCCATTTATTTATTTATAAAAACGCAAAAATATAAATAACATTTCATTTGAAATATATTTAAGTATATTTTGCTTAACAAATGATTACTTTTATTCTAAGCTTCAAATTAATTTGAAGTTTCATTGTTTTACTATTTGTTTAAACCAGATAAATATTTTAAACATTCAACTACCATAAGAAAATGTATTTAAGCAACAAAAAATTTATCAGATCAGTAAACTGCCTTATAATTAAAAATTTTAATTTTAACATTTTATTGTAAATATATTTAATATTTATTTTACTTTAAACTGTTTTATACAAAAAAATATATACTACTACTTTAATACATCTTTAAAAAATTTTAAACGGACATTGATTTTCATTACCGCAAATCAGCATAATTTCGCGTCATCGACCTTTCCACTCGGATTAAACACACTTTCTCTATTATCTAGACAATTTATTAAAATGCTTATTAATGATAGTTGAACGGACATAAATAAATAGTATTTTTCTTAAATTATCTCATTTTTATGTTTTTCTTTCATATAATCGTTATTGCTTTATAATTATATTTTATGTTTTATTTTATTAAAATTATATTAAACTTTATTCAAATTTATATTTTATGATTATTTACTACGCTGAATTACTTTAAATTGAGTAACTATAAAATTAGTTTTATACTTTATATATGTATCTATATATATATATATATATATATATATATATATATATATATATATATATATATATATATATATATATATATATATATATATATATAGATATATATATATATATTTATATATATATATATATAAGTTTATATATATATATATATATAAACTTTAAAACTTTCATCCTAGCTAACGTAGATTTTATTACTTGTGAATTTCCATTTCATATTTTTTCTATTTCCATATTTCCATTCCATATCATATTATTTCCATTTCATAAATGCTATTTAAATAAAAATTTATTAGAAGGTTTTCCTTAAGATATGTGGTCTAAGTAAATTAAAATTTTGCAATTGCCTTTTTAATTTTATTAGTACTTTAAATTGTATGGTGCATCTATTAATCAGTTTAAAAACATTATGCAAGATCTATAGTAGTTCCAATCAATATAATAGAGAAAAATAATGAGTATTACATAATTTATACTGTTTATTTGAATGTTTCAAATAATTTGAAAGATTCATCTTCTCGGGCTTTAGATTATCATTTAAATATAGTTTTTATTGCGTGTAAGAGACCACTGTACAAAAGTTGTACGTGATTCTGTAAACCGGTTTCGACCACTCACATGCAGATAAAATGCTTAAAGAATATTACTTGATAATTTTCTTACGAGATACACGTTTGAAAATAACAACGTGTTATTGTACCTGAATTTATTTCGTTGTTTTGGTTGCATGATCCATATAATTTTAGTCATAAGTTAGTATAATTTGTAAAAATACAATTTTATATATTATTAAAATGCGGTTATCATATAAAATAATAACTTATTATTAAAGAAATAATAATAACAGGAACAATACTCAACTATTTCTATAAAAAAACTTGTACATAGCATTGAAAATGATCAATATTTCAAATATTAATATCAAAATCTGATAATTTAAAATCATTTATAAATTCTTAATATATATTTACTATAATTAAATCTTTTTTTTTTAATTATAATTAGTTTAAAACATTTGTGAAGTTAATTTATTTTTAAAAATCTGAAATAAATTAAGAATCATATGGGGTATGGGTAAATGTAAGAAAATTATTAATATTTCCTGTTACTGTTATAATTTACGTAATAAAAAAGAATTAAACTATGAGGTATAAAAATTAAGAAATAACTTATTTGTCGAAATAGCCTTATTTTTGGTTATTAAAGTGATGAATGTGTGCTTAAAAGTATACATAGAATTACATAACGGAAACAAGTTTTAAAAAAATATTTACATGCAAATTTGGATATAAATTGACAATTATAGAAAACATTAAAGAAAACATTTTTTACAGATTTCTACTGATTCATAGAATTTTAGAAATCTAAAGAAAGAATAAATTGTTCAATTAGAGAATCCATTTTGAAATATAAGGAAAAAATTAGATGTAAGAAAATGTATTAAAAAATATTATTACTTTAGCAGATTTCTAGAGCAGAAATTTGTATTCAAAATATAATATATATTAAGTAAGATCATGAATCCATATTATAATAGTTATTATTATTTTTAAAATTATGGTGTAAATTTATTGAAGTTGAATGTATTATTTTTATAGTTCATCAGAAGTATATTTTCGATTTATCAAATAAAATCAATATTTATTTGATTTTATGCACAAGTGATTATTTTACATACGTAGAAAATAATATAATTTAATATATCATTTTTTAATAATTATAATATCTATGAATTATTTTATTAAAAGTAAAAATGAATTTTATGGTATAAAATATACTAGCATCAATATTATTACAAGAAAATCTCAAAGCTATATCAAAAGAAAAGTATACCTAAACCTTCATTCTGATTATATTATTAAAATAATTTTTGAAAAATATTTATACATTCAGTATTATTGTAAAATAGTCTACATTTCTACAACTTTTATTCACTGCATGTCAACAAGTATATTTGCAACTAAATTGACAAAATTGAAATTAATAAACAATCTGTTAAATTATTAGGATTATTACATTTTTTGCAGATTCACTCATCATATTTTTTAATTAAACCTAAGAATTACATAAATTACTTGAGAACTATTTACATTATTATTTATACCTTCTACTTTAATTACATATATATTTATGTAAATATATTTAGAATTAAAATAATGGTATTTTCTAAAAGCTTTTCAGTTTTTCTTATATTCATTTTTCAACATTTAAAACATTTAATTACAAATAGAATTATATTGTAAATAAAGCAAAGATATATTTATAAATATAATATATGTAAATATGTTTATAAACTCTTCATATCTTCATATGTTACTAATATGTAATGTATATAAGTGTAATAAAATTACATTGCACTAAAAGCAGTAATTTGATGTTATTCAATCAATCGAATAATAAAAAAGATGATATATCTTATATATTAGTATTTAATTATTTTATAGCAAAAATTCGTAAACATTTTTATAAGCTTAATCCTAAAAGTAATAAATTTATTGACTTCTATAATTATAACCGTTAGTAAAAAATATACATATATACTTCACATGAAATTATATAACATGTAGATGTAATGCTTACAATATTTACTGAACTACTCATATAGATGCTAGTATAATCATAATTATGTAAATAAATATATGTGTATCAGTGTTTTAAGTATTAATACTCTTACCTATTACAAATTTGGTGTTAACAGCAAAACAGGCACTAATCTTTAAATTAACATGAATGGATTATTAAATTTAAGAAATTATATTCAAATACTTATAAAAAATAAATATAAGAAATTAATTATTAATAAATTAATAGAATTAATATAAGAAATTACATAATTTTATAATAATCTATCTCAATAAGCTTTAAACAAGTATTTTTTATACAATTCAAATAATAAATTTTAAGTCATCACATTTAATTTATTACATTATATATAATTTAATATTCTACAATGTAAATTAAATTAAATGTCATTCATTTCAAGTTTTAAGAAGTACATCTATGCAATTAATTTTAATTATAAAAATTTGTTTTTAAGGAATAATAATAGAACGTCTATTTAATATCATGTTCACGTTCTTCAAATATATATACAAATAATTATATACATATAATATATATATATATATATATATATATATATATATATATATACATATACATAAAAATAAATAAACATTTAAAAGTATGCATTTTAACATATTTTTTTTATTGAACATTATATTATGGTTATACTTTTTAAATTGCTTTATAATATTTATTGATTATTACATATTTCATTAACTGTTAATATAACATTAACATAATAATATTGTATATCCATCTAAAACTTAGTAAATTTTCAATATACATTAATATAGTTTATAAATGTCTATTATATACAGGTTTATTTTATAATAATTTATAATAACTATTTTGTATAGAAGTACATTTTCACATAGAGAAATAAATTATTCTAACACAAGTGAAAAAGAATAGAAATTAAATAGTAAAATTAAAGGAAAATTTAAATGAAATATTTTATCTCAACTATCTGAAAAAGTATATTGATAGTATTTATTATTTAACGATTTTTTCAACTAAATATATGTTGAAGAATGTTATTATTTATACGTATCAAATTGATAATATTTAACCTTGTTATAGTTTCTTGATTAAGTTTTAATTAATTTTTCATTATTTTTTCTGATGTATATTTATCATTAGGTTTAATTATTAGTAATATCAATATTAACATTAACATAGATCAATTATAAATAAAAATGATCGGCTATTTATGTCATTAATAATTTGCTTATTATCATTACCGCGTGAATATGTAGATAAACTAACTTTATATATATTTTATTTATAGCTTTTAAGATTAGAATTTTCAAAGAAATTACTAATGCCAAAAGCGTAAAAAGAAATCGTAAAAATGATCTTATGAATAAGTTAATTAAATTTATTATACATATTCTAATTGTATTATACCTATATTTATTACATAGACTCTAAATTAATTATTTAGTCTTTTTTTTTTTTAATATTTAGTAAAATAAGTACTACTACATTTAAAAAGGATAAATTTTTTCTTATTTCAGAAACAAATATAATTATGAATAATGTTTTTAAATGATAGTCGGAATAATATGACTTATTAAAAAAATTTAACCGTATTCAAACAATTTGTATTTAAAAATTAATGAAGCACGTCATTACAGTATAAAATACGGTTTACAGCACCGTATCACACGATTATAGAACTTAATTACATCCGGCAAACGTATTAATTCCGTAAAATAAAACACTTGCAATTAAAATAAAATTATGCTGCTATTTCCATCAATTACGCAATTAAAAGAATCCTCTATAAATCAACAGAATAATTTATTCAAATCAATGTAATCATGTTTCAGTTACAACAACAGCGGCGGCGGCAGCAACAGCAGAAGCACTACATCCGAAACAGTTACAAAATACGAGCTCGTTGCGTTAAGAGCATTATATGCCGGAATCGAGCGATACGCGATTTCGATCGTGCAATTCCAAATACCGATTAATTCTATTAAAAAACAGCAAAAATGATGCACACAAAAAAGTGAGTACGCGTCCGCACATCTTAGACAGTTTATACGACTTCGTAACTGCCAGTGGTCGATTCTTTTTTCCTCGCGTTTTTACCTCGTACCGGTAACTCAATACTTTTTCCTCCTGCCCGTTCACGTGCGCATATTCCTTTACGCGATCGAGAAATTCAAAGAGGCACTCGACTAATACTCACTGATACACGATTCAAACAAGGGGAAGTGAGATAGATTTTAAAAGATTGAAATTAAGATTAAGATTGAGACAGAGAGAGATAGCGCGAGAGGGGGGGGGGGTACACAGAGAGAGAGAGTGGGGGGATACAGAGAGAGGGGGGATACAGAGAGAGGGGGGTAGAGAGAGAGAGAGAGAGAGAGAGAGAGAGCGTAAGTGTGATAAAGAAGAAAGATGCAAGCCTCCTGGCGAACGGTATAACTCGGAATGAAGGCTATAGTTCGCCAGGCCCCGACTTTATAGCCGGAGCTGCGATCGTATCCCGAGTATGCCCCAGCTCTAAACCTACATGTACATACACACGCGCCCTGCAATTATAGCTGCGCGTATGCCTAACCTGAATCAGCCAAGGCGCGCCGCTGTATAATGTACCACACACTCGAATTAAGACCAAACTGGCTCGGGCATCTGTTTTAAGTACGTTTAGTTAAATTCGCTTGACGAAATTCAGCCCGTGATATTATTGTACACATCATAGTCTGACAAGTGTGTCTGCCTTTACGCGAATCTAAACCAACATTCTCGTTTTACGTCCGTTCAATTGAATAATTCATGCTAGACACGATGTTGTGACGGGACAGTTACAGGAGAGTTACACTTTCCATATGACTGTCATCAATAAAGTGTTCGTTTGTCAATTGCTTTTCCATCGATACTCGATTTTGTTTTTGGCAGAATTACTATTACTGTTTGAAATTTTTATTAACTTTTACTGAATTATATTCAATATGTAATTTACATAAATATGTTTAGACATTACATATTATTAAACATTATATAATAACTAATTATAGGTAAAATAAAAAGAATACTTTACTTGTCCCATTTTATTTTCATAATTCCAAAGTCTAACTTAGATGACAATTATATAAATTCAATACTCGTTGTAATCGATAAATGAACTTGTTTTGAATTCTATAAATATACATGTGATTAGTTTAAATTAAAATTTGATGACAATAATTTTTTACCTATTGATTTTTCAATACTTTTATTTAAATAAAAGGCTATTTTTGATCGATCAATAACATATTATATTAACATTATCCAAAAATGCTCATTTATATTTCAATTATTGGCATTCTATATGCTGCATTAACTACATAATAATATTTTTATTGATTTAAAAAAATTAAATTTAAACTTCAATTATCTTTAATTCAGTAATTTCTGACACTACAGTTATTCAAATAGAAATACATAAGTTAAATATATTTTACTAAATTAACAGAAATATAATATATTTTATAATAGGTATACATTTTTATAATCAAAAAGTAATAAAATAAAAATTATAAAATAATACTTCTTAATGAAAATAACTCACGTTTGCAACTTCTTTTTCATAGTTCGTAAAAAAATATTCGTACAAATTGAAACTTTTGTTTCAAAATTTTATATACTAGCTTTGCATTTTTATTTCACGAAAAACACAAGTAATAATCATATTTTAAATATAAATCGTTAGACAATATGCATGATTTTTAAAACCTTTAACATTAACTAATATGAATTAAATCATATTATAAGTAATGAAAAAAATTGTAAAATGTATAGTATTATTTCTATTACTTGGTATTGAAATTTTCTTTAGAAAAGTTCCTTTTCTCGAAGCATTTAAACTCAATATTGGCCCTTCTACCTGTATTTTAATCACGTATTCTCTGCTCCTTAGATGTTTGTAATTGAAAGGATAATGTAGACCGAAATCCAGGGATGGTTATAGCATAACTATCTAATTGAATGGTTTTTAGTTTTGAAGTAAGTATTAGTTGTATAAAGAGTTTAAAAAAGTAATATTGAAAGAAAGTTTTTTAATTTAAGTTAACGATAAAAAGCTTTGTCGTAGAAAAAGTAAAATAAAGTAAAGCTTTCTGAATACTTCGATAGGGAAACGAATACATAAGAATTGAAAGCATTGCCTATAATTCTGCAAAATGTATATTTATATATATTTATAGAATTCAATTTCATGACTATGCTCATTATACGTTCAAAGTTCATTGAAAAGTAATATAATTATATCATAATGAATGTAAGTTTAAAAACAATATATATAACAATTATCCACTTAATGTAATTAAATTTTTATAGACTACTATTCAATATTAGTATTTTTTTGATTTACTAAGAGGTTCCTTAACTTACAATTGGCAATTATCCAGAAAGCTTCATGCGTTATAAGTATTTCGCAACTGTTTTTACATAATGCTTGTAGTGAAAAATATATATATTTATTTTATCATTGGTTATAATGATTTTTGCTACTTTTAAATATATTAATAAAAAGAAAAAAAAGATTAATTTTTTTTTTAATTTAACTTTAATTATGACATAAGTAATGTATATAATCATAATGTTGTGCAAATAAAATATTGCTTTGTGGAATAAAAATAGAGTCCAATTTTTTGAGGAAAATATAAGTAGATACATGTTCGAACATACAATATTACTGTCATTTCGATATTTTAAACAAAATACAATTACAACGTACGTTATGGCAATTTTCGTATATAAATATTTTAAATTGAATAGTAATTGAATTTGATTGAATCACATTATAAATATAAATAAAATATTTGTGCAATAAAAACAAAAAATAAGATCGTTAGCTATCTATAAACTTTACTGTTGTCTGTCTGTAAAACATTACTGTAAAATGAAAAATGTTTTACTAGATGGGAAAAGGAAGGTACTAGATAAAATGATGGACAATTCGATCGATTATGATAGTTCCTGAAACTACCTTTAATAAATAACGTGAGAAGTGAAATTTTTAAATAAAATTATTTTATAAGGATCATAATAAGAAAATATCAAGACAGATAGTTTTATGAACAACGATAATGAAAATTATTATTAGGCTATTAGACAGATAATTTTACTGATTGTGCCAAGTCGCATTTTAACCATTAAAAAGTTCAATTTACTCCTATCTATATATTTAATGAAGTTACTACTACAGTATAACAAATATTAGTTACAATATAGACTCATACATGGAACTCAAGCACATATCCATATGTCATCAGGGAGATGGGAATTGTCTGAAGACAATATTAAATCAATATCATTTTGAAAATAACTACTATATTAATGTAATTACCTACTAATGGGTGAAATGATATAATATAAAGAATAATATATAATTGTTATTATTCTATAAAATTAAAAATATATACATACAAATATTATTAATGTATAAATTTCTCTATATATTATTTTATAGTGTTAAAAAACTACAATGTAAATCTAACTTTAAATAGAATAAGTTTAAATTAATACAATGTACCATTATAATTAAAACATAAATAATTAATATTTATAAACACATATTTTTTATTTTTAAATTTATCTTTGAATTTCAAACACTTGATTTATTTGTTATAATTTTAGTTTAAATAATATTATAAAAATTTCCTTTTCACGGAAATTAATTAAATATTTCAAGTCATAATTAATATTTTTCAGGATCATGAGACATTCATTAATTTAATATATGATAATTCATCACTAAATCTATTAAAATCAAAATACAAGTGGGGGATGAGGACCATGTATCACGATAAAGCTGTGTAACATAAATTAAATTTCGGGAGCATTCAAATATTATATTTTGAAAATGAAGAGAAAATGTATATAAAGCTATGTTTAATAAATATTAGAACAAATCAGTTTCATTAATTATAATAGTTTATTATAATAAAAACCTCTGTAACTTTTTAAAGGATCCTACGAGAATAAGGAATTATGAAAGTTCTGTAGCTTGTCGACTGTAGAATTATAATATTTTTCTTCGAAATCATTATATGGTTATGTAAAATAAAATAAAATTGAATTGCCTGATATTATTAAAAGTTGTATATATTTGAAATTATAAATATATATTCGAAAGTATCCTAAAATGAGTGATGGATTTACTTAAAATTGATTATACGAATTGATTATGAAATTTTTACTTAAGGTAAATGTAATTTAAATTATAATATTTTAAACAATATTTTCAAAATAATGAAATTATTTACTGGCTTGAAAAGCTAATACAATTTAGATACACCGATATTATATAAAAATTCAATTATTGTTTGAAAGGAATCCATAGAATAATTAAATTTACTAATCTAAAGAAAATAGAACCTATTGGTTGAGTATATAATAATAGACAGTGTGTTAGAATGATAGAAATATAGGCTTTTCATATTCTCGAAAACTACAAAGTAATAAATTTAAAATATTATGAATTTTATGAAATTGAAAACGATTATATTTATTATAAAAGAATTTTTTATGAAAGCAGGTCACTAATTATTAAAAAAAAACCTTCTGTGATATTGTTATTAATTAATACATCTGATTTCACTTTTACTGATACTCAATTATATACTAATATAAATAAATTATATAAATAAAATAGTCATCTTAATTTGTTAAGATATTTATGAACCAAATTTCGATAAATCATAGAAAATTCACAACAGGAACAATTTCTATGTTAATTTAGGCACGCATTAGGTTCGCACAAGAAGGCAAAAGAAAGTTAAAGAACATTTTTTTTAAATAAAATTTTTGTACATGATTTCATATGTATTAAAATTTTTTATTTATAATTATAGAAACTTCATATTTACAACTATGTATTGAATATTATTATATTATATTCTTCTATTATAGGAAATATTTAAATTAAAATGTTTAATACAAATGAAACTGAAGGTATTGATTAGAAGTTAAATTTAAAATATTAATGAAGAAATGTTATCGTATAATCAATTTTAACGTTACATTTTAAATTTCATATTAATTACAATGTTTAAAAATACAGAACGATATCAAATCTGTTCGTAAAATAATACATTTAGAAATAAGTCAGTCATAAATTATTTATTATGAAAATTATTTTCATTAATGTATTTGAATTAAATTTGATAACTATATATATAAATATTATTTCCTATAACATTTTTAATATTTATTGAATAGAACTATGTTTACAAATAACTTATTATCCGTTTTACATAAGAACAATTAAAAAAATCTTCAATAATGAAGAATAATACAAAGTAATCATGCAACAATGGGAGATTTAATCGAACCTGAAGAAAGCCAGTGACTTGTTTGTTCATTAATATGTAACGCTTTAATTATGTCGAATGCTCTCAACCGTACATTGTTTCATTTAAATCACTTTCAAAAATCTTGAACACATTGCAGGCTTTAAGATTGTCTCTTAATTCTTCAATAGAGAATTCTCATTTACATTTGCTCAAAAATCGAAATTAAAATTTCAAATGTATTTGTTTTAAGACTTTAATAGTAAATAAAACATTACTTTAAAAAATTGAATTTAATATACATCATATGATGAAAGTGTATTAAATTAATATGTACTTTATAAGGTTTCTAATAAAAATATTATTTATTAAGTAATATATATTTTTCAATCATATTTGTTCGAATAAAATTTTGAAAAAAAATAAAATTCCGAATGAAATATATTATAAAATAAAGTTTAAAAATAAATATACTTCAAATATAAGTAAATTAACTTATAAGTAGTTTATACTTAAAAAGTAGTATCTTTTCAGAGAAACTCAATAAGAGTTTCTTTTTTCAAACTGAACATTTATTAAACATATATCTAATAATCTAAAGTATTTCTCACTTTTTAAGTATTAAACATAATACTATTCGATTTATTTAAAAATAATATGTTGATATTAAATATTTATAATATATTATAATATATTTTTATTTTACCTTTATAAATTTAAAAATAAGTAGAAAAATACCAAATATGTAAATATATTTATTCTTCATATTTCTATACAGCATTATAAATTTGATAAAAGATTTATATATCCTGAATAAAATAATTAAAATATAACCATGAATTTTTTCAAATAATTATCATTAAGTTATGAAAAACTATTCAAATCTGTAAACAGCTTTATACGTTCAAAATTTTCATTTATTTGATATTTTTAGTATTTTATTAAAATTAAATAATTAAAGACGTTCTGATTTATTAATGGGCTTTAAAATATTAATTAATTGCACCTAAATTTACAGATTTGTATGTTATATCGATCTCAAAATTGATCATAAATATCATAAGCAATTCATGCTTAGTGACATCTAGTGGTGAATAAAATATCAAGTATTTTCATATGGTAACTAATTTAAACAAAGCCATTTAATTTATAAATCTGTTTTACTATCGATGAATAAAAATCTATAAGATTCATACATTTTATCTTGTAATAAATTTAAAAAAATTAATTATATCCGATTAAAATCAGTAATGTAAATAAATATATCCGATTGGATAAAAAAACATATTATATTTACAAAAAATAACATCAATTTAAAAACATGAATTTTATACAGCGTTAATATACGTCTAAAAATATTGGCATTTATGAATATATGAGTATAATGTGGTATTTGCAGACTTTTATTGCATTGTTTGGACTATCGCTATTAATTAATAATAACTGCTTCCTATTTTTTTTTTTAATTTACGAATTTATATAATCATGAAAAAACATTTATTATTTAATAAATGTAGTAACAATTAATCTCAAAAGGAAATTTCAAAATGAGTATGAACAAAAGTATAAAAATTAAGGATGAAAATTCCATAGCTATTATGTCTATGGTGCACAGGTCCCTATGATAGCAATTATTATACGTAAAAAGTATAATATTTGACAAATTCATTTACAGACTTAATACTTATAGCATCGTTTAATGCAATAAATAAATGTAAAAAATAATCGCAGATTTTTCAGGCACAATTATTTTGCAGCAACAAGATTGATACCGTATACATCCTGTTAGATGATAAACCAATTACACTTGTTCGCTGAAATTCAATTTTCATTTTATAAGGACATTTCGGCTTCGTTGTGCTCTTTGCTCTTCTTTACTGTATTTTCTGATCTATGAATGGGAAAGGAATACGTATAAATGTAACCTTTTTAAATTAATAATTTTATATTCGGTATAAATTATAATTATTATTTTAATTGCATTAATTACATTTAATAAAATTGAATGATATTTTAATAAAAACTTAATTTAGTAATACTTACTTTCCAAAATCTTCTCCATCTTGCAAAGTTTCTGGAAGGTCGCAGCCAGCAGTCTCTGGTAATAATACACAAAGAGCAGCACCAATTAATGGTAAAACTCCAAATATTATAGGTGGTAACCAAAATTTAATTGTGCCCTGAAAATGTAAATAAAACAATTTAATAAAATAATAATTTTTATCAACTTTCGATATTATTTTTAAAATATTGTAATTTTGACATTCATTTATAAAATATATTTTTTGTAATAAAACTCATAATTTGTAATAAAATATCAAAGTATTTTTTTATATTAAAATACGTGTGACGCAATATTTACCAAAGATACTACGAATGGAGCCACCATTGATCCTATTCTTGCACACATACTGCTCGTTCCTACACCAATATTTCTTATAACCGTAGGAAAGAGTTCACCGGAATACAAATAAACTGTTGTAAAGGAAACTGACATGCCAACAATACCAAAACAAGCCAAGATCAATCTCAGCCATTCCAAATCTAAAATAAATAAAATAACAAAGTTTTTCATAATTTAATAAAAAATAATTAAATATATTTTCAATCTACTTGCCATTATTAACAAAAATCAATAAAAGAGCAGCTGCGCCTGCAATAATATTACTCGTCAGTAGTGTAATTCTTCTACCTAAAGCATTCATGGTCCACCAGGCAAGAAAATTTCCAGGAATTTGAATTATTCCGGAAAGAGCAAAATTTAAAAATATGTCACCACCAACGTGTCCAATGTATTGTGTCATACCAAATAAACCCATCCCACAGACAATCCAATTAAAAAAAATTGTTAATGATTTCGTTCTCATATTAGGTGTGCGGAAAAGATCTAGAAATGATGCTTTACCATCCGCTTCAGTTTTTTTAGAATTCTGGAATATTATTAAAATTCATATTTTAGAAAATAATAATGACAATTAGGATATATCTAATTATAGTATGATATTAAATAATAATATTGAAAATATAATTTATTCAAAGCAAATATCTTTTGTAAATTTTTTAATTATATATAGAAATACGTATTTTGTAGATAATGATAATTTATATTAGTATAATATATCAAATCCGTTTTTTAATATAAATACATATTTAAATTTTATTGTATATGTTTAAACTTTTATTTCACTTTAGCTTATTTTATTTTACTTTTACTAAAAAGGTTAACAATATTTTTTATGGAATATTTACATAATCTAACAAATTGAATTGCACAAATATAATTTGTAATTTATATATATTAGTTAACTTTAACTTGAAGTTATTTTTTTAAATAATATTCCTTTTTATTGTACAAAAAATAATTACAAATATACTGATAAATTTTTTCTATGCAGTAATATAATATTTTATTCAGAATAAATGTATATTATATTGAAAATCATTTCTCTAAATTTTATACCATAATTTCTTTTATCTTAATAATTTAGATCTAAATAAGTATTTGTAGTGTAAATATGAAATTATACCTGATGTAAGCAATGTTTTCTGACAACTTCGGTTATATCTTTGTCGTCTAATTTATTCATTTTGGCAGCTGATTTTAGAACATTGCAAGCTTCTTTCTGTCTACCCATAGCTAGAAGCCATCTCGGCGATTCAGGAACGATCCACCAATAACTTAGTAGCATAATAGAAGGTAGAGTCATAGCGATTTGAAGATGTTGCCAATGTCTAAACCAATAAGCAATGCCGGACAAAGACATGTGTCCTAAACTATACGGAATCTGGTATAAAATTGTTATAGCTGCACGCCAACTTTTTCCAACTATTTCCATACCTATAAATATAAATTACATATAAATATTTAAAACAACTTAATTTAACAATAATGCGAAGAAATTTAATGTATACAAAACAATTGTGAATCAATTTCCACTAAGAGTCCGTAACTTATTTAAATAATCTATTGAGTATCGTTTAAGATTATTACCATCTTTTAAAAATAAAAATTATTACAAATTTTAATGGTTCTAATTACTAAACAAAAAAAATTCAAAAGCATTTTTAGTATATAGTAAAAGTATATATAAAGTTATAAATACTAAAATGTTTTCAATAGAACATATTGTACTTACATTTATAAAAAAAAATTTTATTGCAATATCTACTTGTCACAAAAGATTAATATTTAGTATATTTTTTACGAATGTATATTGATTTTATAACAAAGTTTGATAGTTATAAAAATATTTCTATTATTTATTACTAATTATATAAAAGTTATACTGCATTTAATTTCACACCACTTTAAAAAAACCATTAAATGAAATATTCAAATGTAAGAAGTAGTTAATATAAATAGAGAAATTGTTTCAATATTAAAATAAATCTCATAGAATTTGAAACTCACATATTACATAACTAGTAACCATCGTACCGCCAGTTGCCAAAGCACTTAAAAATTTCAATAACAGGAGCACAGGAAACCACGGAACAATAGCACAACCAATGCCAGATGCTAATTGAAGCACAATAGAGACCATTAAAGGAAGTTTTCGTCCAAACCTACAAAAGGTTGTTAATTAAATTGTACAAGTTTTAGAATACAATCACATGTAATAGAGGATATTTAAAATTTACAATGGATGTAGAATAAATAAAAATCGTAGGTAAACTATGAATTATTAAGATTTCTATATATTTTAGAAAGAATTATACATTTTTTTAACTATATTTAAATAAGTTAAACGTAAAAATAATTAATTTACCTGTCCGATAAAAAACCAAAAGATATGCTGCCAAGCAGAATACCAAACATAAGAGTTGATTGCTGAAGGTTTGCATAGTTTGAACGAGAACACACAAGATTCCACTACAATAAAATAAAGAAAAACAGGAATGTATTTCTGAAAATTATATTAATCATTTACTATGATTTAATAAATTATACTGTATTTTTTTTATTCAATACTATACAAAAAAGTAGAATAAAAATATGCCATATTAAAAGAAAATTTAGGATTTATTGGATATAATTTATATTATATCATATCATATTATTTTAAATTATAATAAATATATTTATATGCGAATATACAAAAAAAATACTGAATATAAAAAAATATCTTGTTTTCATTAATAAGATAAATGCACTTTAATAAAATAGATAAATGAATCATTGATATTAACCATTAAAATAAATAAAAATATGAATACTGTCTATAAGAAAATTTGAATGAAAATAATACTTGTAACTCCTAAAACAAAACTTTAATGTATTGAAGTAATTAAGTAATCACATATATATATTTAAATTTTCAGTATTTATCAAATTATTTTTCAAAATTTTATGAATAATTATTTATCCAAAAAAATAAATTATTTAAATATCTATTTAACATCTTTTATAATATATAATATTAAAATATATATATATTCAGGACGATTCTATGTACCCACAACTAAAATTAATTATTGCAAACATAATTTACATTTAGCATATTTCAGTTTTTATGCCTTAATATATCTTTATTCCTAATACTAAGTTTTATAATATTAAAAATTAAAAATAATTTTTAAGTGATGTTTTCTGTAAATACTTCATCGAATAAAAAGTTACTTTCCTTTCGAAAAATTACATAATATTTATAATTATTTTGATTAGAAATAAAAATCAGCAAAATTTGCCAAATTGGATAATAATTGATTTACATGATAATTTATTTAAGTATGTTACATTTTCAATACCTATAAAAAATTCTATGTTTCGTAACTCGTTCTCTAATTATACTTACTAAATGAATAAGAACTTTTTATTTTTAAATAAAAACTTGCTGATACGTGTTTTTTTGCGTTTACATTCAATACCTTATTCAAATGAATAATGCATATGATAGTCATATTTGTTTTGATAAATCTTTTTTATCACATATGTATCGGTAAATTTAATAATAGATTTCTTGCAAATACAATAACAAAGACAATTATATGCTGCAACGTAGAGTCTTGACATTGTTCTATTAGCGAAACAAATTAAGTATCAAAAAGTTTAATTCAAACAAGGTAAATGTTTTCAAGAGCAAATATATTGAGTATTTGTTTTAATCGTTGTATTCTTGATTCAGTATTTTTCTCAATCGTTGTATTCTCAATTCTCAAATAATAGTTCGGCTCTTTCTGCTCCAATTTTATTGAAAGAATACGGAGGCAATAAGGCTTGTCAACTAGCAATTGTCTCATGTGAACGAAGAAAGTCAGTCTGAAGTACGCAGCATTTGATCAAACATTAAATAGGCAAATGATTTATCCATTTAAAATGATAATCAAAGTCAGTTATTTTCACGAAGTTAGACCTACCTGAGATATTATGGTCTCAGGAAAGATGCTCCTGTCGAATTCCCATTTTGTACATTCATGCTGGGTACCGTTAATCAGGACATGGCACTCATCATCCGTAGTGATGTATCCCGGTGCCGTACAATTGTATGTCTGTTTCGGCGCCATGAAAACGATTGCCAGTTGGTGCCAGGCAACTGGGAATTTGACAAGGGATATAGCTGCACAAACGAAGATCTGCCAGCGGCCGAGTTGGCCCATCGTGCGCTGTACTGCATCACTGTTACATTCCTGATGATTACCGGCAGCTTCAGCATCTTTTTGGTTGATAATATGCTTGCTGCTTATGTCTGGAATATCATTTCTCGATGTTATTCTGAGCGTGTGGTGTATAACACCATTGGTCACTCAATAATTGGACATTATGCAATAAACAATCACCTACGATAAACTTAAGTCTACGTTATACTGTAATGATATTATCAAGATAATATATATTCGATGTATATTAATAAAGTCTTATAAACTCGATAATACCAATAAGAGGCAAAAAAATAAACAACCTTTTATTCGTATATTTCTACATGAAGTGGTATTATTTTAGAATTCGTATTGGGTTTATACTTGCGATTCATTTTGGACTTCAATTCTGTCTGTATTATTATTCGTGTTATTATAGTATTATTGTATTATATGCTATTATATGCTATTATATATTATTGCTATTATATATATATGCTATTATATATATACTATAACATGCTATTATAGTATTATTCAACACTATTTGTATTATTACAGTTTATGATTAGTTTTAACTTTGTCAAATCTTCATTTATTAATAAGGGAATAATTATTTTAAAAATTATGTAAGAGAGAGAGTGAGAGAGAGAGAAGAGAGAGAGAGAAGAGAGAGAGAGAGGAAGAATATTTCGTATGACGGAAATTACTATGGAGTTGCTGATTTTGATTTTACGTTTCACGTTTTAATATCTTCTTTTAATTGTATATTTATTAAAAATATATTTTATTGAATTTAAAGATAATGAAAAAATAATCTTCAATTAATAAGTATTCTTTATAAAAGCAATTAAGTAGAATTTTGCAATATAAATTTAATCACCGAACCTGTGATCTAGTAGTTATTTAAAACATATATAATAGTAATTCTTTTAAAACATTTCTATATAAAATTTCTACTATAAAATACATTTCTTATAAAAAATTTCTATATAACAAATAAATATGCAAATAATTAAAAAGAGTATTTTTTATTATCAACGTTAATAACTAAATATATTATATAAAAACAATTTTTCAACAGAAAATTAAAATTCATATAAAATAATATTAATTAAATTTTAATATTTTAAAAATAATTACTATTTAAAATTTTAAAGCTATTCATATTCATTGGGACAAGAAAAAATCTCCTTGTTATCAATGACAATGGAACCGAAGTAGCAATTTAGTTTCGCTATATTCACATGATAAATAAATCTGCATATTGATATGTTAGTATTGAAAATTTTAATATTAAATCTCATAGTAAAAGTTAAATTTTTCATTGTAATTATTTCACAAACTAAAAGGGAAAATTTAACATTTGTTAATTTTTTTAATTATAAATTCTAATTAATATAAACAATGGTTAAACATTTTGTCAATGTTAATTTTATTAAGGTAGAAGAATAAATGCAACAATTCTTAAATTTTATAAGTAATTCTAATTATCAGAACAACCTTGATATAAATATAAGTGCAGCGTTTATTTGTAAATTCAAAGACAATTATAATTACCTATGTTATTAGCGGAATGGTATACCATTTTCTAATTTTTCAATAAGATTATAAAGCAAATAGCAATTAATAATTGCAACAAATAGACATTTTCAATTAACCCGATTTAAACATTAAAACCGGCTACATCATTATGTTGGAATCCCCTATATTAAGAATTTCTTTTTAACAATATACATTAATGTCTGTCTAGCTAACCAGTAAAAACAAGTTTTGTTTTTGCATGTAGCTTTGACAACTTTAACACATAAAAGTCGCGGTCTTGATCAATTTATATAGCGATCGAGAAAAAATGATTTGTGATGAAAAAAATGAAAGTTGCCTTAATCTACAGAGCAAGAAGACCTTCATACAATGACCAAAATATTAAAAATTACATGATGCTTAATACAAGAAAATAACAAATATAAGCTATAAATATTGTTTTTTATTATGTTTATAAAAATAAATAAAATATAATTAATTATACGTACGTATTTGAAAGTCATTATTTATTTTTTATATTGGGTCAAAACATAAATCAGTTAATAAATTACTATATTCCATTTTTAGGGTATTATAAATTATTATAAATTATTAATATAATAATAAAATGTTCATTTAAGAAGAACCATATAAATATCAAGATTATGCCAAAAAACCAAGAAAACTCGTATTCAGTTTCGTCGAAATAGAAAATCACGTAAAAAAATTAAAACATACTATTAATCCTTTAAATTAAATATTGGTATCAAGTATCTTTTTAAATAAAAATTAAAGAAATTATAATTTTATGTCAAATCTGGAAATATTCTAAGAATTAAATAAATACGGCATTCTAATTATTAATTGTAATAAATGCAACAAATTATATTGAGAAAGAATTATAAAAATCAAAACAAATAACTAGAATATTTAAAAGCCGGTTAAAATATTTATATGTAAACCAAGAATTGTTTAACAATAATTCTCATGGATAACTAAGCTCATATTTATTTGAAAAATAAGATAGAGTAATCAAAGATAAATTAAGTGTTGTGATGCGTAACATATAAGTTAATAAGTTATTAAGCGTATGATATAGGGAAACTTTGTAAAAGCAAAGATTTTAATATATGAATAATTAATCGAATATAAAAGTATAGGATTCGAGTAATATGTTTGAGAAATTAAAAAAAATATTCGAGTAACATATAAACTTATTAAACATAGTTTGCTCTTTTATATAAAAATAGCAATTTTAAATTAAATTGTATGCATTAATTAAAATTTTTTAATATTTCTTATAATCATACAGCTTACTTTAAAAGACATTCTTTTCAATGTAATATTTACCTAAATGCATTTTCTCACATTATTTGTAAGGAATTTCGTAGTAAGAGCGACAGATTGTTGTGATAACATTAAGTTGTACAAACCACCCGTAGAATACGTATGCTTGTGTTTTCCGTACCGAAAGAGTGAGTAATAATTAATTGTATATATTCAAAATTTATCTGCATACATACCTAAATATCTACTACTACATTGAATATACTTTATTGGGAGTTTTGCAAGTCATAAAAGTATCGAAGTAACAAAAGTAATAAATAGGATTATTTTCAGTGGTAAATTAAGATACAATAGAGTATAAAACTTCATTCAATGCTTTTTTTTTATAATACAAGAATTCATGGCAGCATAAACAAAATGAAGTCATAATTGAATACAGTTAAATTTTATATTTTCAAATTTTCAGTTTTGAAAGCATCAATAGATTTAATTATAAATTTTATATAAAATCAGACGATGTATATACGTATACAATTATATATAGTGATAAACGAGAACAATTTCAATACTCAATATTGTTAATTTTTAATAGGTGATCTATATATAAATGAAAAATAATTAAGTAAATTAAAATTTGTACTCGATATTCGATACAATAGATTTTCATATTACATTCAACAAGCAATTATTTATACAGTCACTGTCAATTAATATTAAATTATTTAGGGAGCATTGTTCCAGTCATTTAAAAATATAATAGATTTTATTTTTATATTACCATTCGTATAAAATTTTAATTTTTTAATTGGTCAAATTTTTGTATATTTGTCTATGACCCTGTTGATATTTAAACAATTCACATATTTAACTACTCAAATAATAAGTAGTCTGTTTCATTAACATTTTATTCTACGACTTTTTATATTTGTGTGGAAGAATACTCACGAAGGAAAATATCTTTCTGGATAAATTTTAATTAGTTTTAAAAACACTTTTAAAAATTCCTTATTACTTTCTATTTTATAACCTACAATAATTTATATTGAAATGTTATAATTATATATTCAAATATAGTGGTTACTTAAATAGCAATTAAATTTTTATTATTCTCTTTACTATAAGATGTAATATTCCTAATGTGATTTTAATGTAAATATTAGCTTGATACAGTAAATTATGAAATGATTCAACTTACGAATCTAATATGACATATTTGAGGATATGAAACATTGTTCTTAATAATATTTTCAATAACTTAAAAATATATATTGTTATAGCTTTTACAAAAATTATTTATTAATCCATATCATAAACTATGATAATTGTGTTTTAAATTATGAATAACATTTTTAAATAATTTTAATACGGTAATTGAATAGTTTAATTATCTTTTTATCTATATACATTTCTATTACAAAATTTTTTCAAGATAAAATATGTTGACATAACATATTTAAATAGAAGCAAGAAATAAGCTTATTTTAATCAAACTAATTCTTATTACTAAAATGGCCAAAAATTCAAAACTTAAAAATTAAGTTAAACACATGATAAATTAACATTAAGTTAACACATTGATATTAATTAATCTAATTTTCAATATTATTTATTATTATTTTATTATTATTATTTTATTAAATTCAACAATTGAAGTCGTTAAATCGAGAATTTTATTAATAATTTGCATGTATCTGCTAAAAAATTTAGATAGCTTTGATTAGTTTTACTCTTTGATATTTACACAATTCTTATTATGAAAAGACGAAATTAAATAGTTTCCTTTTGTTAGTTCTACTTTCTTATGTTTAAACAATTCTTATTACGAAAAAGTGAAATCAAATATTATTTCTAATTATAATAATAACAACTACAACAATAATATATTCATAGCTTAGTTTTATTGTTAATTGAAGAATACTTAAAAGGATAAAAATTAGAAATAATTAATAATATATACACTAGCGGGTATTAGTAAACTATAATCGATGTGTCCATAAAAACTTTAGAGTCCAGTGTAACGAAATTAAATTTAATAAAACATTGATTTCCTTTTTATAACTTTTCAATAAATAATTACATTTAGAAATTTTTGATATATGGCTTAGCCTACGAATATTCATACATAAAATTATTTCTTTAACAATATAAGTTTCTGTTTAATATATTATATATACTTTTAAAAAGTAGTAAAAAAAGAAAAAAAGAAAAATTTTCTAATAAATGGATTAAAACTTTGTCTGTAGTTGAAACGAAAATCTAAAATTATACATTCTAAGGTATTAAATTAATAATTACTTTTTAATGAAATTCAAAATAATAAATACATAGTTTTGATCAAATTTATAATTTTTGGATTTTAGCAATATATTATACTTAAATTGATGAATTATAATGAACATTTCTGAGACATGAAACGAATTTCCTGATCAAATTTAGTTACCATAAAAAATTTCAAGGTATAAACTAATATTCGTTAACATTAATTGAAAAATGATTATCATTATTATTAATAATTTATTAAAAATAATTCTATAGAAAAAAATTCCTAACCAGAAGCAAAATCAGAATGATAAATTTCGACAGCAGTCAATTAATAATTCCACAAATTAAGAAGTTTTATAAATTGAATTTTGCAAGATAATTTATTTCACATAAGAAACACCGTGGGTGAACATTTTTCGTCCGTCCCGGGTGATTACAATTCTCGTTGGCACAGTATCAAGGCAACAATAATTTGCAAAACACGCGTGAGTGAGAGGGTTTAGACGCAAAATAGAGGCAGCGCTCTTATTAATATGTGTATGCAACTATGTAACTGCGGCAGTGACAGCGGCAACCTCAGACGATAAATCGAACCGAAAAAAAGAAAGGCGGCGCTCAACGATCGGTTCATGACCCTGTAACACTTTTATTTACGAGCATGCATCGACTAGTGCAGCGCCCGACGGCGGCACTGTGAAGACAGCAGCAGTACTTCCATAATGACAAGATCGCGCGTCGCCGGTGTTCGGAGAAAATGTGACCGGCGCATTGAGAGAAAAGCCTTGAGACGATCGAGAGCAGCCTTCGGCCTGTTTCCTCCCAGCCCTCGCGTTCACTTTTTATTTTTCTTTCTTTTTATTTCGCAGAGCGATCCCCAGTATTTTCTCATATCCTTTTATCAAGACAGGCGCCTTTATTCGACGCGACGCTCTCTCTTGATAGCCAATTTGAAGACCCCAAGCTTTATTGTAAGATAAATGAATATAAAGGTGCGCTATTATTGTACTCGTTTTAGCTTCCATCCTCGGCTTCGTACGAACATTTTAAGAGCAATGAAGGAGTCTGATAATGCATCATTGATGCGCTGCAATATGTTTTGAGTGAGCGATCGATAATAGCACTATTGATAAACGAGAGAGCTATGCTTATTTACTTTTGTATAATGATTTAAGATTAACATACCATGTTCGTTGATTTGCAAATTCTTCATTACACTGTTTGGTAATGCAGGACGTCTGATTTAAATAATGTGACTAGGCCGTAAACTATCTTTTCAGTATTTACCTAGAACCCAAGAACGAAAAAATTAAACGAAATAATAATAGGATAAAAATTGAAATATTTTTTCGTTGTCAATAAAAGACTGAGAAACTGTGTCTTGTATGTTTATCAAAATTAGAGTTATATTTATTTTTCTTATAATTTTATCGATACAAAAATTTTTATTTCATTTAATAGATAAACATTTTATGAAATTAGTTTTATATTAGAAATAGAATATTTATTATAAAATTAGTATGAAATTAATAAAGAATGATTTAAATTATATACTTCGTTTTACTTAAGATATCTATTTTTACATTACTTGAGCATTATTTTAATAACTTTGAAATATAAATGACAACATTTTTCTCTGTCATTTTTGGCATCTACAATAATTTGAATGTATGTATAAAGTTTTCAAATAAATAAGTTTTGTAAAATACTAATAATTATTGTAAAGTTTATAAAAATTGCATTTTCATTACAATTAATATCAATATTAACTAATAGCCAGTGGATATCCATGGATTTTGGACATGTTGAAGTCTAACTTTAATATTAATCACTAATATTAAAATAACTATTTATATATTTATATATGTTTATTCTATCAATTAAATGAATTATTAACAAAATATAAACAAAATCTCAGCTTTAAATTGTAGTAATAAATACGTCATAGGATTATAGAGTGTATAGATGTACTGTGATAAATTAAAGAAAAAGATGAGTAAAAACCCTTTTAGATGAGTACAACAATATACATGATATCTTCGATTTTATAAATATTATTTATTTTAAACTTAATACTTAGTTTATAGTTGATATAGGTGCTCTTTATACAAATAATACAAGATACTCACATAGTTTGTTTACGTAAGGCAAGAATCGGTAATTGCTACGAAAGAAAAGAAGACGAAGAAAAAATAATAGTTCTACGGCAGTCGAAAATATGTACATCTATGTTAAGTGAAGTTACGTGAGTATTTGAACAATTGTCTGCCACGGCAATTAACAGCAAGACTGATATTAATTATCAGTTCTTCATATCTTCCGCATTGTTTTGCCACTTTTTATGTTACTTTACTTACTTACTTTTGATCGTTTATGTATTAAAAGGGAAGAAAAAATGGAGAATACGGACGTACATGCAAATAAGCACGCTTTACGTAATTTACGAGTTGCGAGATACATCAACAACGTCATAGTCACCCTAACATTACATCAAACGGTACAGCCTGCGCTTTCCCGACTTGTTAATGATGCACACATGTCAGAGATTCCTCGTCACTCATTAGTGAGTGAGTGCCAAGGAAAATTTCCGTAAGATTATGAAAGCTCACAAGAAGTGATTTCATTTAGTCGGGCCACATGCCATCATTATACGACAAGCCGTAAAATGTTCACGGCGAACAATATCCAGGTAGTAGAAACATTGCTCCCTACTCCAAACATGTTTGACATTGACATTGGAAGTTCAATTTGCAATTAAATTGAACGCCGTCTTTTACCATCAAAGTTTGTTCACGAGGTAATGACATGTAACGACGTTATATAATCGTACACTATGTACATAGCAGTACTAATAATTGACTATGATGCTACACGAAACCCAATCGTAAATACATAATTGAAATTTCCACTTAAAATAACTAGAGGGTATATGGATTTACCTTGTAAATATGAAAATTTGGAACAAGCAATCGAGTAGCCCGGATATTTTATGCTGATAAGATCATATAAAAAGATGTATACTAGCATAAACAGCACTTAATGTAAAAAAATTCAATAAGTTTATTGAACCTCATTCTTATTGTGGTATGTTATTTTAATTAACAAATTTTTCGAAACTCCGTTTTGTAAACTAGCGTTTCATAAAGCTAATGAACGTAAAGGAAAGTCAACTAATTTCTTGAACATTAATTAATTGAACCTTGATATTTTATCGCACTAAAATTCCATTTCTCTAAATATAAAAATCAACGTAAATTATATATTTAACTAGTCGACCGAAACTTTTTATAAAATTTAATTTGAATCCATTAAAAAGGATGCTCTTAAGAAGTAAAATCAACAAGGCTACCGACTTTTGAAGTTGTGAAGTCAACGAAGTTGCTAATTACGTACCTACAGATTCGGCTCATTGTGAAAACTTTCTTCCAACTATAGTAATTTCCTTTCAGTAATTATCTTTAGAAGCGCTCATAATAATATAACTAAGTAAATAATGAATCGACTCAACAATACAGCTTTTCCTTTAACACTTGACAACATCAATCTACGTAAAGTTGACAAATATGAAAAAGTGTGAGAAAGAGCGTGAGCGCGAGGATAAGTACGACAATCTTGAAGCAGCTCTGAGTATTACTAAAATTTCGTTGTAAGCATCCTTGGTAACCAAATTGCGACAGGCGTAATATCACGTTCTTAGCGGCAGTAGGCACTAGATATTGGCTCGCAGTACACGATCATTGACAAAGCGGAGTTCTTCGAGGGATGCTTAATCCCTGAGTACGATGAGGAAAAATTCCATCATTGATGTAATGATCTATCTATTTGCGCTCATTAGATGGAATTGATGATCAAGTAATATGGCAGACATTGTTTGCATGTGCTGATCATTCACGTCACTTTTTCGTGCTACGTTATACAAATCTCGAGAGTGATTTTAGTGAATCGCACGCGATTCGCGATGGTGAAATAACTATACGCATACTTGTAGAAGTGTATACCGTTTGCGCGTGCGTTTCAGTATACCATAAAAGCAGTATACATGTTTGGTTAAAATATGTATATTATTAACTTGTTCTCTTCTATGTACTAAGAAGTAAGATTAACGGAAGTGTTACTCTTCGACTTTAACAGCTTTTGTAGGAATCATCAGATTTTCGAATTCTAATGACAGACTCATTATCGGATTTTTCACTGTGATTAATAAATAAAACGAACATCTATCAATGAATTATATGATTTTTATTCTTTTCAGCACCGGAAAATCATTGATTCGATAACAGAAAAACAAGTATTTATCGTAATTATCATTGTTTCGATTGTAATGATATCACACAAACCGGTGATCTCTAGCGTTACGTTATGCGTAAACACAAGCATTGGTATTTATTGAAAATAAACGTAGATGCCTATCACTTATAAGCATTTTTTACGAGCAATGATAATACGTTGTGAGATGAATGATACCGATCGTGCGTCCGCATAACGACCCATGGAGAGAATGACTGGCCAATCGGCAATCTTCTATCCTAGACTCGTCTGATCTAAGCATCCCATACTCTCCGCCTCTCAGCAATAATAAAACGTAGGTAACCAAACGCTGCTGCGAACGCCGTGTTTATTTCGCGAGTCATTTTGTCATCTGTGTATACATGCGCGCCGCACAATGGGCGAATTGGCATGGATTCCGTACGGCACTTAAGCTTGCAAAATAACGACCTTGGAAGCGCATCCGTCTGCACGTGCCTCCTCCCGCTGCTTTTCTCACGTTAATGAATCTCTCCCTCCTTCGAGTCCACTCTTACTTACTCCCAGCATAATCGTCTGATCGTATCCGGTGTTGGCGATAAGGTGGCACGCGAGCGGAAGATCCGGTAAATACACGACTTTGCCAATTCGAGCTACAGCGCTCTCTACGCTTTTGAGGATGCAACGTCACTATTACTTTTCAAAAAGGAAGCAATTGAAATTCTTGTATGGTGAGTTACGCGTAGCTTTTGCTTTGGCTTTTTGAGCAACTCATCGCACCATTTATATAAATATACAACTTTTTCTCTACAATGAAAACGTGGTCAAACAATATTTTATAGGCAATTGATTTGCAGAATATATTTTCTTTATTACAGACTTTTCGACCTATTTATTTGAATTATTCGATGCTGCCTTCGTAACTAATGCTTGAAAAATTTAAAACAATGTATAGTATAATCTTTTAGTACTGTATGCATTCGTTTAGATTTAACGAATTGTTCGAGCAATCATTTCATGAAACATTAAATAATAATTAATAGAAATTTTCATTTCTTTCTTGATGTTATAAGTAATATTAGGAATGTATATTAGATGTAAAATATTAAAGTTATTCATTGCATTTTTAGATCATGAGCAAATATCTTTCCTCCTTACCCAAATGACATTTCAAATTTGTGTAACTAAATTTATTATATATTTATTTAGTATTTTAAATATTTTTTTTCGTATTAAACGTAATTTATATTAGTGATATTAACTTCTAATATAATAAAATTTATAAATTCAAATAAATATACTTGTATGTGTTAACTAAACGTATAATCGTAAAAAAATTGCATAATGATAGAATTACTATTAACATCAAATAACGTAAATTTGTATATTGATATAAACATAGTGTGTCAATATTTTTTTATAACAAGTCTATTACAATTTAGGTAAATTTGATTTTTTTATTATAGATGAAGAAAAAAAAATAAGTCGAAGTCCACAAGTTGAGCTATTTTTACTCGAATTTAATAAAAAATAATAAGAATTTACAAAGAGGTGCTTTAAACTCAGATATATGCTTGAATCCTAATAAACCCAAATGACTGAGCAAATCATATTGTTTGCAAATTAAACTACGTAATATTTATTTTTTATAACGATAATTGCTTAACTCAAATTTACCTGAGCATTCCAATTACGTACAGTGCACAGAACAATGCTCTGAGAATTCTCCTGTTCATTTGGCACGAAGCAAGCTATCCGTATAGAATTCTAATCTCAAAAAGAATTTAAGAAGTGATTTACCGCGGATTACGAAAAGCACTTCAGCTATAGAACTGTAAAAGTAAGTAGTAATAAGTAATGCCTTTCACTGACATACAATCATATAACTACCAGAATTCAAACACTTCAGAATATGCTACGCGGTCGGTAGAAACAACATATTTAAGCCAACGTTTAATACATTTAATTTGGTATAAATAGAATCCATTAACTGATAACTAATGAAAATTATTGCACACATAACAAAAGTCTTTAAAAGTAGCATGAAGAAATTATTTTTAATAAAATACGATCAAATAACAAATATGCACATTCTTCGCTAATTTTCTACAATGCATATGGCATTGTACCCTCTTATGATTTTTCGATTTATTCATAGAAAAAATTGAAGAAACTATGTGTTTAGTCAAAAATTTTGTGCAATGATCTATTGCAGTTCTCCACACATATTGTTGCTGACGAATTCTACTTTTTTCGAGATTTAGCTGCCTCATAACTTAATTAAATAATTACAATTTTGATTCATTAGATAATATATAAATATCATCTTAAAAGTTATGTATACATAATTTCTAATCATTCATCGAGGAATTTAATTTATAGAATATAAAATTTTCTTTTCATGAATTATACAGAATTACGTATTATATTATATTCCTTGTTCATAATTCTATTATTTTGCATTTGCTTATCATAGTGGGAAAATTACTAACCAGAATTGTGCAATAAGCACTAGCTTTGATATTCAATATGTCATTTAAGATTTTTCTGAGTAAAATGTTTTAAATTTTTTTGACTTGACGATGTTAATCTTTACTTCACAGCTGTTGTTAAATAACACATATAAGCTAGTATAAAATGTCATTTTCTATGTGCTGTTTGTTAATCTTCATATTTATAATTTAGTTTTTTTAGCAATTATAAAATTTGATAACGTTTAACAATTTTACTATTTTTTTACTATTTTTATACTATAGTTTTACTATTTTTTTAAATTTTACTTATATTAGTATACAATAATAAATAAATATATATTTATATTTATTAGTATTATCTTATTTATTAGTAATTACATACATTAATGCAAGATAATAATATTTAACAATACAAAGAATATTTCATATTCTGAATATCTAGTAAATAGACTCATTAGTTCAATTGATTTATTATCCAAAACATTTATTAACATTGCAAATATTTATAATATAATCTTTTCCTTTATATAACCTTTTTATAATCCTTTATATATTTTCATATAACAAAATACAAAATTTACTTAAAGTTTAAAATTTTCGTAGAAACCTAGTATATCATAAAAAGTAACGGCGTAAATAATTTCTTAGTTCGATAATAAATTGGTATATTATTATTTTTACATATATTTAAATATTTAAAACTATATTCACTATATTCACTATATTTAAAAACATAATCTTCCAATTTCAATAAATGTTTTTTTCAATCTTTTACATTAATAAAATATGATAAATATTTATAATATATACAATAATACATAATTTATAAAATTGTTTTATTTATAAAGTTTTGGAATTTTTGTAAACATAAATATTGATACATTCAATTTAATTTAAGACGCGAGGATAATTCTTTTAAATATTATTCTTAAAGTAACTAGAATTATATAATTAATTTTAAATTTTAAATCAATTGTTAAAAGTTACTTCCAATCAAATTAATTATTATTATTATTATTTTCATATAAATTCATTGGTCATCTGCTATAAAAATCTATAAATATTATAATATAAGAAGCAATTTTAATTAAATTAAACTATTTAGTTATTTTTAGGACAAAGAAAACTTTATGTATTATTTCATTGTATTGTGAAATTTTTTTTAATTGTAATCAACTATAATATATACATCATTTAAAAGTCTTCCAAATTGAATATCAATTATATGACTTGAAAGGCTTTTGTATTTTACATTGAATCAGATTTTAATAGTTTGAAAAAACTCGTTAAAAGATTTCTCGTCAAATAAAGCTGAACGAATTGTTTATTAGAAGGTAACTTCAATATTATCAGATTGCTTGATATTATAATAATATGGATATCTATATTTTCATTTGAAAAATTAAGGCTACAAGTGGAATAAGTGTCAAACTTTATATGTTAAATTTATATGTTATATATTTTATATATATTTATAAAAATATATAAATTGTATAAATATATAAAATATATAGAGTTATATAAATTAATTTTTATGTTATAAGATAAGAAAAAGGACGAAGGGTCGATTAGTTTTCTGAGCTTCTGAAAAAACCATCGACGCTAATCAACTTTCAATGAATTCGTAGATAATTGACGACACATCTATGAGCTATCGATTCTCGTACCCTGTTTTCAAGCTTTCGTCATTGTTTTACAAAGCGTAAACATGTAGCTGACGAAACTTCCATTGGCTGGGGGCTCGCTCATTGTGCGCATCGCACTTCAACATAATCGCGTGTGGTCGAGGAAATTCTTTTCTCGTAGGATGGTCTCGATGACGCGTTGATACATCGACACTATCAAGAACAGTGCTTCAACACACTCCGAAAATAAATGATGCTTGTGGAACGTTCGAGCACCGATTATTGCCGTTTTATCACAGCCAGTTTATTTTCTTTTAATGCACGAAGTATATGTACTTGTTTTTCTTATCTTGTCAATTATTCAATACGATTGTAATTAATAAGGTTCAATTTATATGCGCGCAAATGCAGTGTTTTGGATTTTCATAATTTGAGTGAAAACTAAATAAAATAGGCTGTGAACTTGTATAATAATAAATAAGAAAGCTTTTGAAAAATTAAATCTTACAATTAACAACGCATAAAGCTGAAGTGTTTTACTTGGTAAGAAACTTATAAATGTTAATGATTTGTTTTTACTGTATATATGTGGTGCTTCGGTTTGACTGTTGCCTGTAAATCTTAACTTGGAAATAAAATATATTTTTTAACTAAATAAAAAGCGAATCTTGAGCATTCCTTTATTATGATTAATGTAAGTTTTCGATTGTAAATTTTAATAACAAAGTACTAAACATAAGTAATAAAGTCAGTGAAAGCTTTACAGCAAACATAAAATTAATTAGATTACTTAATCATTGTTTTATATGATTTTCAGTGCTTTTTTGTCTTTATAAAATACTGCGAGAAAGTCACTCAATGACCTAAAATAAAACAAAACAATTTAATAGCTCTGAACTGATGCAATATAAATGAAATTATTAAGTTTATTAATTTTATTGCATTTTTTGACAACAGGTACCATGCATGCATTGTACACTGCAACTGGAATAAAATATTATTTATGTATTTATCATTACTATTTAAATTTTAAATATATAAAATATAATAAATATATTATATACGCAAACCTTAATTTATGGCACACTAGAATTAATATAAATAAAATCTAAGAAATTTTCACAAAATAAGATATTCGTTATTTTACGTTATTTGAAATTTCAATATCATAGACACATGTATAAAGCGTAAACATACTTTTTTTATAATATAATCTTTTATTACTGTTAGATGGTAGAATTATATGAAATGACAGATGTTGTATTGCGTTAACTGGTTAGTAAAAAATCATAGCCGTTTATCTAAAACATTGTATCGCTTATTTCATTAATAAATAAGAGAAAACAAGATTTCGTTATACGAAAAGAAAACCGAACAAAATTTTTCAGAAATTGTAATTCAGTATATTTGCATACTGATTTAGTATATGCATAGGAATATCAATGCAATAGTGCAAATGGCTCGGCCACATCTTCCAACAAACGTACAATTCAGTTTCAAATTAGTTCCTTAAATTAACAAGGATCAGAAATCTACAATTTAATAACTCACCTTAAGTGCTAAGCACAAAATTTAGCGAAACCTGATACAGATGCCGTCAAATTAACATCAGTATTGTCAACAATACTTGAGAAGATATGCCACGGCAGTCGGTTGAGATTTTAACACCAGTAGCAAATTCGCCGTAGACACGTGCTGAACGATTCAAGTCACCGCATGAAGCATCAGCGGCGGCAGTTGTTACACCCTTGCAATCTTCTTCAACGTCTCGTCTTGGAATACGTGCTTCAATTTATCGCCTGTGAACGATCGTCCCAGTCTAGTGCCTCCTCGAATAAGTTTATCTCCGCGTAGCGTGAGTATCATCAAACGTTAACCACCGCCGTTGCTTCCTCTTCTTTTGTCAGCTTCTCTATTGCCTCGCCCTTATCTTCGTGACAGAGAATGTAGAGGCCTTGGTTCTTAATAGTTCGTATTACATTCTCCTAGAGACGAAGTTAGCTAAGACCTAAGATACCACGGGCGTAAAGTCGCGGGTGGCCACTATAGTCTCGTTCGGCAACACGTCCACGCGTTCTCTCGTTGTCAATGCGTTCTCCGGGCGAGTGCCACGCGTGTTAAAGCGCGCGGGAACCTCTCCGCGAGTCAAGAGATAGACAGACAGACAGAAAGAGAGATAGAGAAAGAGAGAGAGAGAGACAGACAGAGAGAGAGAGAGAGAGAGAGAGAGAGCGAGAGAAGGTAAAGGAAGGAGAACGTACCAGCGGGCATATCAACGAGCGCGCGCATGTGTACAAAGGCACACCTACGTACGAGTAATCGTTGGTAGTGGTACAAGACGTGAGAGATGGCGCCAGAGGATAAACTTAGCTCAGATATATAATGCATGTAATGTCATCCGCGATAATTGTTCGCCTATACGTCGCCCAGAACATGATTGCTTTGCCATTAAATACACATCTAGTTTAGAAGCGTGATGCCGAATCGAAAGCGCCATCGATTTAACTCAATTGGACGAGTCATATTTCTTCCGAAATGTAGAAAGTCAATGATTGTCGATATTGAAAGAAGACTGACTGAACCAATTCACCATTAAATTATAGAATCGCTAGTTCACTAATAAACAAATAAGATGATCGATATTTCTAGTTATTAACTCAACGAGTCATACTGCTTGAAGAATTGTCAGTATTATACAAATAGATATGATCAGAATGAACTCTATCCTCTTATTCAAGATTCTAATTTTGACTCTTAATTGTGATCTGTGAACAAATTATCAACTACAACGAAGCTTTACAGTATAGTGAATCAATTTTTTGACATAAAAATTTTAAATATATGTTAATCTATTCGATTCATCCCACTGATTAAAGTAAAATTATTAACACGGATATAAATGAAAATTTATGTATATATATAAATATATATATATATATTTAATTGTATGTTAAATTAAATGTTAAATATGTTCAATATATTCAATTATTTAACCTAACTAATTTCTGCTGACTAAGTAAAATTACAAATCTCGTGATTCTTTATTCATTCATTTTAATTTATATTTAACTGATCTGTAATTTAAAATTATACGCGTCTAAAAAAAAGAAAATTGTAATATAGACATAACTCCTGATGACTTATGCGCATATCTAAGATTTTTAAAATATCATTTTATTTATATAGTTTAATTTGTTAATTATTCTATGAAAATATTTATTATATTAAATTTATAGAAAAACATTAAATGACAAAAGATGAATAGTCTTGTATGACCTTTAAGTTTTTTTTTTGTTCCTCGCAATTAATTTAAGATGAATGAAAATCCATTAACCGTTTAAACATATTTTATTCTATAACCGGTATGCATCGAACCTGTTTCACTAACAATATAAATATTTTTTTTATTTTTTATCAGTAGATTTACTTAAATCTTTAGAAACTATTGTAAATAAAATTACTTTGATTGGTTAAGCTATGATTATTGAAATAATCTAACAAATTAAATTTTATTTAATATTATTATACTTTGAATGAAATAAATAACAATATATACAAAATTGTAATAAAGAATCGTGTACAAACAAACACAAAAAATTATAAATGTACAATTAAAAACAAAATTTATTAGGTTTTTATCAATCTTTCGATACATTGTTCCTTCAGATGGAAATAATTTTAAAGAATATAAAAAATATAAAATAATTTAATATAAAAAAATGAAAAAAATATAATTATAATTTAACACTTAAATTTATCTGAAATATATATTTTTATCCTGATAATCGCTGACTGCGCATGCATGAATGAAAGTTTGAGCACAGTTTAGTAATTGGATATCGCCAGAAAGAGTGAAAAATGAGAGTGCATGTTTCATATAAGGAAAAGATATAGTAAGAAAAAAAGGGAAAAACTGCGAATAAACTGTGGAAGCATACGAAACATATACGTTATTTGCGCACGCGCAAACAACGATTAAAGGAAAGTGTAAACGAAAGGTTTCATTGAGAAAAACAGTGGATTTTGAATGACTTGGACTAATTGTTCATGATTTAATATAAAATCAGTTATTCGGTTAATGTAGTTACTGATATTCCTCTGTTAGTCAGAGAACCACTGTAAAATATTTGTCTATCTACAGAAGATATAATACGTTTAAATGATTGAGGAGCAGTTATGAGAAATGTTACTTCTGATTACCGATGACGTGAGTATTTTATTGACGCATGTATTTGTGTATGTAGCAGCGACTCATAAATTACATATGCGCGACATTCAACTGAATTTCTTCACACCTATTCTATGAAACTAGACAGGAAAATTAATCGTTATTCTTTCGTGTGTGAGAATTTCATAAAAGTGCTGTTTATGAATATTAATAAATAAAAATTAAATATTATAACAGAAAAATTAATAAATATTTCTAAATTACATAATAAACTATTTTAATTTTCTTAATGATAATAGCAAAATCTTTTATAAAACATTACTATATTTCTTACCAAAATCTAAAAAATTTATCGATGTTTTTTTTAATTCCAAATTTGTTAATAACATTTATTTATTGTTTTTATAGATTTCAATATGAGTTAACATATCATAACATAAATACTTGTATAAAAATATTTGAATTTGTAAATAATTTAAGTTATCTACATTTTTATTTAAATATTTCGTAATTAATTTTTGTAATAAAGATCTATAGATATAAAGTTATGTATTTAAAATCAAATAACACAATAATATAGAAACTCAACCAGTATTAATTACTAAAGTAACCCTAAAGTATTTAAAATAAAGAATTAATTATTATGTAAAGACGGTTTATATAGAATTGAAAGATTAAATAATCTGTTGAAAAAAGGCCATAAGAAAATATTAAAATCAAGATGAAAAAGAAAGAGGTTCTATTTTATTTTTAAAGAAGTTTAATTTGATCATATAAAAATAGTTGAGTTCAATTCTTTTTTGTAATAAAAATTTAACAAAGAAATAAATTTACGTTAAGATTAAAAGCTTACTTTTAATTTAATAAAATAAATTAAAATTTAATTTAATAAATTAAATTAAAAGTTTCTTAAAGTTAATAAAACAAATTCAACTTACTAAAATATTTTTTATTATATTTTTTAATAAGATAATAATAAAAAAATGCTGAATACATATTTGTGTGCTAATATATTTACAAGTTAAATCTATAATTATAAAATCCATTTATGAGTTAGAGCACACTTTATTTATTAATTCATTAATGACTAAATATTAATATTATTGGTTTTTGTTCTTTTATCAAAAACATTAATAATAAACTGAATTAATATGGTATTAAATAAATTTGGTCGCAAGAATATTAAATTCAAAAACAGTGACAAATATGTATAAATGTTTTAGAGATCAGATATCAATTACTCATATGTTTTGATAAAAATATTTATATTTGTTTAGAAACTTATATTATTATATTAGAATTTATTATATTTGAATATTATAATATTATACTATTATATTAGAACATCAGTTTTATAAAAAATAATTTCAAATATATAATTTCTACTATACAAACTACATTTATTTTGACAATTTTTTTATTAATTATTATCGATCAAATATTTTGACAATATTTTTTACAATTTAATTTATTATTAACATTCAAATTTTTTGTAATTATTTAAAATACTTTATTAAAAATCACCTGGTTGAAATAATGCAAAACTTTTCTAATATACTCCAAATTTAATCGTGTTTTGTTTACCGATAATTTTATAAATTTTACATTTTAATATATTTTAATGCATTTTAATACATTATAAATTTTACATAAAATTTTACATTTTAACTAAGAATCATTAAAGATTATATATTTAATTTTTGGCCAATTTCAAATATATCAATATCTATTATCCAAATTGTACATAAATGTTTGTGTCTATTTGTATGTGTAAAATATTAAAATATTTTATTGTATTTAAATAAAAATTTTTAATGGCTTTTTACTATCTACTAAAAAAAAGTTAATAAAAATATTCTTTTATTGAAATTAATATTATAAACTAGATATTTAATGCAATTTATTTTATAAATTGATAGTCTTTTTCAAAATGTGAATAAAATTCTTTCTTTTTGTTATAATATTATTTCAAGACGTACCCACAATGACTATTCTCTTTTTGAAATCAAAATATGAAAAGACTACGAATAAAATACGATGATCAATAAAGAAGTGATATTGTTTAGTAAGTATAAGCAATAAAAACATAATATAAAATTATTAAATTCATTTAATAGAAATATGATATAACTAGAATAGGATGCTATAATCAACTAATTTTATTGCAATTGATTGTATTAAGTTATAACTTCAATAAATGTAATCACGTGTAATCACACACAAGTATGCATATATAAATAATAAAATAAATACTTAATATCATTAATTAATGATCTGTTAAGAACAGATTATATTAGAATCAAAGGCTTTTTTGTATTATTTTTAAGATGTAACTCTGAATGATTTCTTTTTATATAAGCAAATATTAAATATAATATAATATATATATTTGAAATCTATATAAACATTTCCATTTGAATAAGTTATATAAAAGGAATTACCATTTGCAAGGTGTGTGTACAGATTATGTGTACCTGCATTATGTATACCTGCAGATTACGTACATGAACTTTGTAGGTTAAAAACATAATTTATATATTGAATTTTAGAAACATGTCTATAATTATACATGAATTATTAAATTTCTTCATTTTACAGCCTTTCTATTTAGTACCATATTAGTTTCCGCATATACATATATATATATTTTTTTTAATTACATATGGATTCGTTATTTTACAGTAGAAGTTGAATAGATGCAACAGGTAACAATGGAAATTGAACAATGGAAATTGAAGGTATAATCGCGAATATTACGAATGAAAGATGATACACGAATTCTTTATCACTTCTAATTAGATTTTCAAATTTTTAAAATCAAATTTTTAATTTTTAATCTAAAAAAAATTTAGTATTTATATAACAATATGTGTACTGTTTTTAAATTAAGTCTATTTATTTCTCAATTTATTAATGTATTCTTTATTTAACTATATTAATTTATTAATTTATTAATTATACTCATGATTTATTCTTTTTAAATAAATAGGGTGGTTCAAAGTATATTAG